GTAGAAGTTCTTTCTATAGTCTGCCTATGAGTCCTCACAAAAAAAAAAAAAAAAAAAAAAGAATTTATCCTAAGGAAATATCAGACCCTTGTGCAAAGATGAATGATCAAGGATATTCATCCTAACTTACTTATAATAGTTAAAAGACTAGATTCAAATTAAACATCATGAACAGGCAACTGATTAAATAAATTATGATGAAACCATAAAACAGAATACCGTGTAGCCATTAAAAATAGTGGCATGGATCTCTACCTTTAAGCACAAATGGTCCATGATATATTGTTAAATAATTAGAAGCAGGTTTCAGAACAGTTTATATAATATGATTGTCTTTTTAAGGAGTAAAAATGTACATGTGTGTGCATGTTCTCAAAGGAAAAAGGCTGGAAGGATATATACCCAAATGTTAAGGACTGGAAGAATTGGTGTGATTTTTACTTTATTAAATATATCTTTCCAATATGATATGAAATGTAACAATAAGTATTACTTTTCCTTTAAGAATCAGGGAGGAAGAAAATTTATTTCCATTTTAGAAAATGAAAGAAAATTTTAAATATCATGCACACATTAAAGGCAAAATGAAATTTTGTGTAATTGGGGGCATCCTCCCAGTGTAGGATAACACAAAGTAAATGCTTTCATATTTAAGTTTAAAATAGAAAAACAGTCTTTAACAAAGCCAGAGTTTGGATATTAATCATTACCACATGATTCATTGTCGCAATCAGGTAGTGACTGATAAACACTGCAATCATCAGACTGGAATGGACCTCAACAATTGATTAGTTTCTAGATTCAATTTTTACTTTGTTTCCCTTTTTAATTCCCTTCACTCTAATTGGCAATTTGATCTCACACAATTCCTAAAGATTGGCTGTGGTCAAAATGAGAGATGACCTAGGAAAACCCTCACAAGACATTTTTTTTCAGCCTACACCAGGCCAACTTAATGTAACACATCTTAAATGCTTCTGGAGAGAAGGAAACAAAATCCGGGATGTACTAGAATCAGAAGACAAAAGTTGAGAAGGAAGGACTAGAAAACGCAGGGTTAGAAGGATTTTGTGCCCATAGCCAATGTATAATAAATATAACTTAGTGGACTGGATTTTGATATTACATTGAGAAAAATTACTTTACTATGTCAGATAAATGGGAAAAGAGCGGACTATGTAACAAATTGTGTTGGGACAAATGACTAACCACTTGGAGAATGTATAGTAGATCATAACCTCAGCCCTTAAATCAAAATAAATGATATATGAATTAAGTATTTAAAATAAAAAATGAAACTAAAAAAGTACTAAAGAAAATATCAGTCAGTATTTAGGCATGACCTCAAAGTTAGAATTATATAGTAAAATTGACAGGCTTAAGTATAAAAATATATACACTTAAAAATATATACTTAAATATATTTATATTCTCATTTTTAAGATATATATTGTCAAAAATATTAACCACAAATTGTGAAAATATTTGAAATATAATGAGAAAAAGCTTATATTCTAACTTTAAAAAACATATTTTTATAAATCAACGAGAAATGTTGAAGATCCCAATGTAAAAGTGGGACAAGGCTATAAATACACAGTTCACAAACGTGAAAATACAATGGTCACTAAGCATGAAAAGAATTTTCAACCTCACTAGTAACCAAAGAAAAGAACATTAAAACCACACTGATATTGGATCTTTATTTAATACTGACAAAAATGGGTACTCACTATCTGAAGGGCAAGTTGTCAATACATACGCAAAAGTGCTCATGCCAATTGATCCAGAAATTTCACTTTGGAGAATTTATCCTCAAGAAAATGTGAGCAAAGATTTATGTATAAAAATATTCATCACAGCACAGTTTAAATTACAGGAAAGAAATTATTTGTGCAAAAGAGAGATTGACTAAGAACTATATATATATTGACTAGAATAGTAAGAAGTTCCTGAAAATTAAATTATAAAAGAATATGTGTTGACATGTAACAATGTTCATGATGTATTGAGTGGTTAAAAAAAAAAAACAGCATGCTACCAAATTGCCTACTTAGGATACCATCTTTTTGTGTGTGTATAAATATATATGTAATATTTATATATTTATACACACTATATATATTATATATACAAAACATACAAATGTTAACAGCATGGCATTATAGGACATTTTTTCTTTATAATTTGTGTGCCTACATATGATTTAATTTTCTGGGCTCAGCTTATGTTACTTTTGTCATAAAGACCAGCAGAACACTAAGTGTAAGAAAATGTTTCCGGCATACAAAGGAGACAGAGAGAGAAAAAATATCTAGGCGTTGCCATTTAAATTGGACCTCAAAGGGAGCAAGGGCTTGCATTGGTTGTGAAGTACCTGATATCTTGCACTTGGTCAGAGGTGGTATACTTTGAGTGGATGAAGAAAGTTTGGGAAAAGGGGAGACATGCACAATATTACAATCAGGAGAAGGCTGACTGATGGGGGTGGGGATAGAAGGAGGTATCTGTGAAAAGGAAGTCAAATCAGGCAAAAGGAATGGAGAACATCAACCGCCACTCACTTCCTCATTCAGTTCTCAACTCAGGAAATCTCTCCACCTTTGGTTCTTCCTAAAGTGCCCCCCACTTCAGTAAAGGGTGCCAACAGTGACAAGCTGTCGAAGCCAGAAGCTGAGGCCTGGATCCTCCTCTTTCTTTATCTGCCCACCCCAACATCCAGTCAATCATAATCACTCCTACATCTGAACTGCCACTCAAATCCATCCACATCTCTCCATTCCCACTGCCACTACCCAAGTCCAGTTCATCTCTCATCTCAACCATTAAAATAGCCCCCATTTTCTCTGACTGCTATATAGCTGCCTGAGCAAATTTTGTAAACGCAAATTTACCAGGCGGCTCCCCTGTGTAAACCCATGACAATGGCTTCCCATGCCCTTAGGATAAAGTTCAACTCCTTAATAGAGTTTACAAGGCTCTTGTGATCTGGTCTTGTCTCTTACAACTTGACCTCTTGCCACTCAAGCCACATCCAGCCACACACAACTTCTTCAGTGCCCAGAATGCACAGTGCTCTCACTTAGGGGAAACACCCTTCCCTCCATCTTCATCTGGCCAACTCCTTCTCACTTTTCACATCCCAGCTTAAACTCTCTGGAAAGCCTTCCCTCACCCCTTAGATCGGGATAGCTGCCTAGATGCTTGGGTTGTTTATTTAGTGTCCTCTCTTTCTCCCTTTGTAACACACATCATACATGACATATAATTTCTGCCTTCCTCTCTTAAATCTGATCACCATGAGGACGGAATTGTGTCTCTTTTGTTGATCATAGCATCCCCAGTGGCTAGCAAAATGGCTGGCACATAGCAGATATATATATAAATATGTATATTTATATATATGTATAAATAAAGGTGTATTGAATTGAAATAAATTCACTTGGCACCTTTATTTACATTTTCTTTTTTTCTTTCTTTACCTCTCTTAGGTTCTAGTTGCCAATGCTGCCTAGCCCCCTCAGTAACAAGCAGAAGAAAACAGCTAGCTAATTCCTGCATTAGAATTTAGGAGGAATATGTGTGCATGTATGTATCTAACAGCCAGAGAGGTAATAAAGTTAAGACAGGCTGAAGGTTCCTTTCACAGCTTGTAAAGCCAGCAACTTCATCTAAGAATCATGGGCTTGTTCTAAGATTGAGTATTAATAAAAGGCTGTGGGATTTTAATGGCATAGATGAAAAAAATAAAATAAAAACACATCATTTGTTCCAATCAAGGTTGACATCTTAAAACCAAGTAGAACAGAGATCTCTTTTTAAGGAGTCAACCATTTACATTTCATAGAAAAGATCTTTAAAGGCACAGGATTAAAATATCTTCCCCTCAAGACATGTAACAGTGCCTTAGAGTTCAGGATCTCTCTGCGTGTGGCTCATACCGGATGAGCCACCCCCATGGTGCCAGTTTTCACTAGGAAAAGACAGAATCTCTAGGTAATTTTCTCCCTCTTTCTAAAAAGACAACTATTTAGACAGTCTAGAAAGAAGGCCAAGTATGTTCATTGACTTCCCTGCCTCTTGCTGCTGTCTGCCGAATCCTACTATAAACACTGTTTCCAACTGAAACCATCAGGTTGAACTTACCCTCTGCTGCAGATTATTTCTAGGGCTTCCAAGTTCCCATGGTAGGCTGCTAGTAGTGTGGGAGTCATGCCATCTTCATCAGAAAGATTCAGATCTCTCTTGGTAGCCTCTTTTAGAAGTTCCAGGTAGCTATCACTAGCAGCTTGGTGGTAGTGAGTGGACATTTTTTCCTGCTCACAAAAGCTTGGCCAGATATCACTCTCTGAGCAGAGCAGGATGTTAGTGGAGCAGCCTTCCTACGAAGCTGGTTAATCAGTGACAAGGAAGAGTGTCACCCCAGGGCAAAGCTCATTCCAGCCTCCCTCCATGGATGGCAGCCAGAAAGGTTCACAGCACTGAACTTGGACCTTTTCTTTCTGGAATGGCCGTGACGTTGAATATTGAGGACTGCTGTGTTCATCTTGAGTGTTTTGAGGCACATTTAATTTTTTAATGTCCATTAACAAGTCTTGAGTATAATATTGGTCATTTAGGCACAGAATGTAGAAAATAATTTCCAAACAATTCAAAACTAGTCTAGTTCACTGGGGAGGTTTATTTTTTTAACTACTTTTTTTAAGGTATAATTTACATACTATAAAATTCACCCATTTTAAGTGTACAATTCAATGATCATTAGTAAATTTACAGAGTTGTGTAACCATCACCATAATTCCATTTTAGACATATCTATCACGCCAAAAATATCCCTCATGGTCATTTATAGTCAAACCCCATTCCCACTCCCAACTCCAGGAAACCACTAATCTGCTGTCTATCTCTACAGATTTGCTTTCTATGGGCATTTCATATAAATGGAATCATATAATATATAGTCTTTTGTGTCTAGCTTTTTTTTAGTCTCACATAATTTTTTGAGGTTCATCCATGCTATAGCAAGTAACAGTACTTCCTTTTTATTGCTGAATAATATTCTACTATGCTAATATACCAAATTTTCTTTATTCACTCAACAGTTGATGGACATTTGAATTGTTTCCAGAGTTTAGTTTTATGAATAATGCTGCTATGAACATTCACATACAAGTCTTTGTGTGGACATATATTTTCATGTCTTTTGGGAATATACCAAGGAGTGGAAGTGCTGGGTTGTATGGCAATTTATATTTAACTTTTTTTTTTTTTTGAGGAAGATCGGCCCTGAGTTAACATCTGCCAATCCTCCTCTCTTATTTTGCTGAGGAAGACTGGCCCTGGGCTAACATCCATGCCCATCTTCCTCCACTTTATGTGGGACGCCACCACAGCATGGCTTGACAAGCGGTGCGTCGGTATGCGCCAGGATCCAAACCAGCGAACCCTGGGCTGCCGCAGCAGAGCACACGCACTTAACCCATTGTGCCACTGGGCCGGCCCCTATATTTAACTTTTTAAGAAACTGCCAAACTGTTTTCCAAAGTGGCTGTACCATTTTATATTCCCATCAGCAATGTATGATGGTTCAAATTTCTCCAAATCCTTGCAGCCTTTGTTGTCTATTTTTTTGCTTATGGCCATCCTAGTGGGTGTGAAGTGATATCATTGTGGTTTTAATTTGCATTTCCCTAATGACTAATGCTGTCAAGCACATTTTCATGTGCTTATTAGCCATTCTATCTTGTATTTAAATTCTTTGCCCACCTTTTCACTGGGTTGTCTTCATATTATTGAGTTATAAAAGTTCTTTATATATTCTGGATACAAATCCTTTTGAACTGAATGAAAATACAACATATCAAAATTTATAGGATACAGTTAAAACAGAACTGAGGAGGGAAATTTGCAGTTTTTAATGCCTGTATTAGAAAAGAAGAAAGATCTCAAATCAATAATTTAAACTTCCACCTTAAGTAAAGAAGGAACAGCATGGAAAAATTAGTGTAAATAAAGATCACAATATAAGACCAAAAACATGGTCCAAATCTATCTGTAATCAAAATAAACGTAAATGGACCAAACTTACCAGTTAGAAGACTCAGCCATGTCTTATTTACAATGGACACATCTAAAATATAAAATTGCAGAAAGACTGAAAGCAAAAAATGGAAAGGTTGGGGGCCAGCCCGGTGGCGTAATGGTTAAGTTCAGCATGCTCCGCTTTGGCAGCCCAGGTTCGCAGGTTCGGATCCCAGGTGCAGACCTTCACCACTCATCAAGCCATGCTGTGGCAGCAACCCACAAACAAAATAGAGAAATACAGGCATAGACGTTAGCTCAGGGCCACTCCTCTTCAAGCAAAAAGAGGAAGATTGGCAACAGGTGTTAGCTCAGAGCCAATCTTCCTCAACAAAAAAAAAAAAAAAAGGAAAGGTTATATTGAGCAAATACTAACAAAAAATTGGTATAGCTATATTTATACCAGACAAAATATAGTTTAAGCCAAAAAAAATTACTGGGAATAGAGATCATACATAATGATGAAAGGAACAATTCATCAAGAAAATATGATAGTCCTAAACTTTTATATACCTAATACATAGCCCCAAAATAGAGAAAACAAAAATTAATAGAATTTAAAGAGAAAGAACAAATCCACAATCATAGTGGGAGATTTTAATATACCCCCTAAATGTTATATGTCAATGAGACTAAAGATTAGTCAAGATATAAAAGATTTGAACACAATTAAAAAGTTTGATCTAACAATCCTATACAGAACCCTGCACTCAATAGAAAATGCATGCTCTTTGCAAACACACAGAGAAGATTTATAAAAATTATCCACCTAATAGAACCAGTGCAGGCCTCAACAAATGTCAAATAATAGGTTTCATGCAGACCATGTTCTCTGAAGGCATTGCAATAAAATTAGAACCCATCACCCTTACACAACTGATGCACTATTTATATATTCTCTTGTGGTATATTTTTTACATAGTTTTCATCACAAATACATACCATTTTATATTGTGTCTTTTCCTCTCTTTAGTCTACCACAAACATTTCCCATATTGTTACAAAATCCTTAATATGTTTGGATAATATTCCACAGAACTGATGTGAGGCAGGTCTATTTTCAAAGTCTTTAACTGTTTATTCCTATTATCTCTTTTTTTCCAAGTCTTTATTCCAAGATAAATTATTTGCCCATTCTGAAAAAGTACAAGGCTTTCATTTGCAGTTTCCTCAAAAAATTAGCTCCAAGGATCAATGTTTGTTCCTTTTTCTGGTTTCTATGAAAACACCAGTAGAAGCTATAGAAACAACTCGGAGGGAAGCATTATTTAGTGGCAAAAAAAAAATTTTTTTTAGCCCAAAGAGAGTAAAATATCCAAACATCATTGTGGGTACTTTGAGAACAAGGTAACATTCTTCCTCAATTAATTTTTTAAAAAGCCACTTTAATTTAGACACAGTTGCATTCATTAATGCACTCTTAAACAGAAAATCATATATAACTTGAGAGAGGGCTTCTCAAAGATGGATTAATTGTAGTAGAATGCCAAGTGTCAGACAAGGAGTCTTCTACTGGATGAAGATGATGGTGGTGATGATAATGATAACGATAGCTATGATGAGGGGAAAGAGAATGATAGGGATGAGGATGGAAGCAAAGGAGAAGGAGGACAGAGCAATTATAGAGAAGAGGAAGAAGGGTTGGAAATGGAGGACAAGGAGGAGAACGAGGAGTTTCTCAACTCCAGTGGTACTTACGACTTAGATTTAAACTCTCCTGTGAAATGGTAAAACATCTGAACTTTTTTTTTTTTTTCTTAATGGTAAGGATCCTGGCATCCTCTGGCCATTTCCTTGAGAAAACTTCTTCCTTGAAATAAGAATGGATGGGGAAGGAGAGGAGAAGCAGAAACAAATCCTTCTGAATTTGAAGATCCTCCCTACCCCATCCCTTCAAGAAGAGGTTGAGAAAGAGAATTGAACTTGGAGCTAGAAGACCTAGAGTCCATATGATCTGGGGCAAGTTACTCCATCTATTTGAGTCTCCGTTTCTTTGTGAATAAAATTGGGGGATATTGCTTATGATCATGTCATCATCACCTAAGCTTACAGTAGTAAAGATGAATGAGATAAAATTCCTTACAAACGATAAAGTATGGTTTTACAAACTGGAAGTAGTGCGATTGTGGCTTAGGGAGGAGAAAGAGAGAGAGTGAGCGCTATAGCGCGATAATTGGTGTATTTTCTCATTCCCCAAAGCCCAAAGGAAGCAGAATTGGCGGGAGATATTGAGGGCAGAGATTAATGAAAATAACTAACACAGATTTGCATATAATATACACACTAGTTCCTTGTGAGGAGTCTGGAAAATTGTGGGGCAATTGTGGATTTTGACTGTATGTTCTGACTGTATTGGTCTTACGGAAATAAGTATTTGAGTCTGTTCCAACAGCATGCTGCTGGACTCTTGGAAGGTCAGAGAAGAATATCTGCCATGCACGATAGTGGAGAGACTTTGAAGATCAGGCTTAAGGAGCAAAGACCCTCCCCTGGATTGTTCTATTACTTAGAAAGTCAAGGCCCTCATCAACCTTCTTTTGGAACCAACCCTGCCCCCCACACCTCCCTACATTCCTGTAATATTAGTATAACTTTAGGGAAACATCCTGCCAGTGATTTCTTTGTCCCTCTGGCTGCCACTTAGGTTCAGAGGGGTAAGCTTCTTTCCCTTCTTTGTTTTCCTAAAACTCTAGAAACTCAACTTATTACCTGGCACATCAGGTAATATTTAACTACTTCACTTTGAGAGGCCCTTCTGCCCAGACACCATTTCTTTTTGCCAATGACCCAGAGAAAACAGGGTTAGTCAGCCCCCAGAGGCAGCACTTGGAAAGATCCTCCCACCAATTAGTCTCCTCCTCCCCATAGAGCAATGGCATTTTCAACTCTTCATTGTTGTGTTTATAATTTTTCGGCCTCTTCTGCCTCAATAGCAGCTACCTGACAGCTGGGTGGTCTAAACAGGTGTCCCATCTACCATGGAGTCTATCCTGGCTAGGAGAAAGTAGCACTTGGATGGAGAATTTACCTAGGACTCTGACCTATCTATAATAAACAAAGTCCTATGTGTTCCTTTCTCAGAGAGAGGAAAAGAAGGGACAAAGATTAGCAGTAGTTGATACTTCCAGTCTACCCCAAGAAAAACCAATGCCAGCAAAGTAGAAACCAAACTGCTCCCTTTTTGTTCTGAAAAACCCTTCACTGCTAATTGGGAAAGAAATTCAACAGCTTTTGCAGCCCAGAAACACATATTTTTATTAATGAGATTGCCCCCTGCACTCCAAGAGCTCTGGCTTTCAAAAGCAGACA